AGGGAACAGAGGCATAATCCCAAGGCTGCAACTTGTACTGACGCAGCGGGGCAGCAGGAGCTGCGTTTCTGTTTGAAATCACACGGTTAAGGACAGGAAAACCTCCCGTATCAGTGGTATTATCTAAGCAGAAGGCGCTTTGTCTAACCAGACCAATGTATTGCCTTAGCAGGGCGGTTTTGCTATTTCCAAGAGATCAGAGCAACAATTAAAGCAGCAAACTTTTCAAGCAGGGCCTTAATTAAACACGGGTATGTGCTCACTGAATCAAGGCCCTCAGGTGTTTTCCAGTCATCCTTTTCTGCCAAAAGCTGAAATGACATGCAAAGCTGCTGCTTTATCACAATGCTGTCGGGTCACCCTCAGCTTGAAATAAAGTCTCACCTCTTACAATTTGTCGCAAGCAACACCAAAGTGTACAGTGGCTGGAAGAAGCACTGATTGCTGCTGCTGTCTGGGGATGCGTACTCTTTTAGGTCCATGCAAATTGTAAAATTAGAAAAAAAATTAAAAATCTTCCACGGCCAGCGGGGCACTGGGAAGCAGTTCCCAGAACTATCTGTAACTTGACTTAAAAAAAGCCAACCAGATTGCAGATCGACTCAGCTCCCACTGCTGTTTTCACTTCCCTTTGAGCTTTTACATTTTGCAGTTACAAGTAACACCCAGGTTTTGGACCATTTTTCTCCCACCATCTGGGGGTCTGAGCCAAATTCAGCTGGATGCAGAGAACAGCAGCTGGTCTTGGTTGAGAGAGGTATTGTCATCATCTGTCAGAATTTGGGATGGCATCCCTAGAGGACATGTAATTGCAGCTGTAGTGTTTGGGAGGATCTCAAGGAGTTCCCACTTGGTCACAAAACTTGCTGGACCTGGAAGGATGGAACAGACCCTGTTTGCTTTCAGACTCCTCTAGTTCTGGAGTGGACACAACTCCTTCAAAGCACCTCCAAGCTGAGGCAGTTGAGACTGGCTAAAATAACAATTACACTTACAAACTGATCTCACGACAATCAGCTTCCTATTCCGAGCCAACTTCCAGCTTTGCTTTCAGCAGTTCCCTGGCTCAATAGGAGTAAGCAACTCATTCAAATCTGACGACCAACAACCTGGGAAATTTATCTTTGCATTGTGTCTGCATATACTGCTTTTGGGCAACACATGGAGATTTACCAGTTTCATTACTGCAAGCCAGTTTCTCCACTACTTTTTGTTTCTGGTTCTCAGCATGAGCCTCACAGCACAGATAAATTCACTGAGTTAATCTGATTCCAAATGAGCGCTTTTGAAGTAAGTCTATTGAAAATAGAAAATCCCTTTCTATTACTATTACAGCTAGGAATACTTTTCTTTTAAAAAAAAAAACAAAAACACTAATAGGAGATACTGGAGCAAAACCGAGCTATTAAAAACATTAAGAAACTTTGATTTTACACAATGGAATTTTAGAAGAAACAAATTGGTTCTGTGCTTTTTGACAAAGTATCTAAAGTGCTGAAAAGGACCAGCAGCCCTGACTAAACACAGACAGCTCTGAGGTTTGATGCTACATATAGATCCCCACGTCTGGCGTGACGGCGGAGAGCGGCAGTGTTTACTGGGTGCCGGGGAAGGGGGGGAAGCCCGACAGATGGCTGCTGTGGCATAGCTCCTGCACGCCCTCTGGGCTTGCAAATGGCTGCTTTCATACACGGGCTGTAAACAATCCTTGAAAGCCCAAGATCATGTGCTGAGGGTCATCCGGCCAAGCAGAGACGCCCAAGGAAGCTGCTCTGCTCCAGAGAGCTGCTTCACTCCATCCTTCCACAAAACTGCGCTTGCTGTGCCTGCTCCCAGGCCCTCTCCTCTCCCCCCTGCCAGATCCTACCTGCCCACTCCCTGTCCCCGATGATCACTCTGTCGCAGAGCTCACACACACGATGACTCCGTTTGTTCTCGTTTACATCGTACTCCATCTTCACAGGCTCTGCTGGGGGCTCACGTCCCTATAGATTAAATAATGCCTCAAATTGGTTTTTGCTATGAAAACTTGCTTGACCATGTTCACTTTGGTAGAGTTTGGGCTCTGAAATTGCCATATGCAGACACTAAGGTTAGCAGGACAGACGCTGCAGTTTTACCATGCAAGACAAGCAGAGTACTGGGTATTAGGAGAAATTTTCAACTTAGACCACAACCCTCTGCCGCTGCGAGGAAAGTCCAAGGCTGGACATGTACACAGACAGCCCTGCTCATGGGAGAGACCAAGTGCCAAGTTATGGGGCCTGGAGACCATCAAGAAGCTGGCTTCTCGGCCATAGCTCACGTGTTAACTCCAGTTACCCAGTACCTGGATGAAGCTCTCCACAATCTCCACAGCAGGTTTCAGCACATCCTCCTCCCACCGCAAGAGATCGGACACCTCCAAGCCATACACCGGGGGCACATTGGGCCCAGGACCTACGGAGAAACAGAAAGGCAGGTCACCGACAGAACCCCTCCAGCATCGTGTCCCAGCACCTACAGGCCTACACTGTGACCAGGGGGATCTGCTCTTTCCTATCTGGCTGTCCTTTAGCATTCAGAAGCAAACAGCACCAGCCTTTTCAGAGCCAAAATTACCAGAGACTTGGGGGGCACCATCCTCACAAAGAGCAAGAACACCTAAAACCTCAAGCAAGCATCTTCACGGTTGTCTGCCTTCAGGACAGCGTTACGAAATCTGAGCACACATACAGCCCATCATAAGAGCAAACACTTTGTCTCGGCCCTGGTCCACAGGAGGCTGCAGAAGATCAAAAGCAAGATCCAGGCACAAAGCCATCACACAACGCTTACAAGGAGATGCAGGCATGGAGCCTGGATGAGGAATCTGCGGGTGCAGGTTCCCACTCCGAGCTATAATTGCTTGCGCAGCGGCAGGGGCCAACGCTCCCGGCTCACAGCAGCAGGCCACGGTGGGAGATGCTTTACTAATGTCTCAACTTGACAAGGCACAGTTTCAAAGGCACCCCTTGGCCTTTCCAAGCCCGGTGAGAGGGCACGGGGCACTTGCTGCAGCCCAGCCAGGGCAAGAGAGTTGCAATCACAGAGCGCCCACTCCCTCCAGCGACGTCGCTGCCCTGCCACAGCTCACCTGCCCGCAGACATCGGGCACACGGCCCCGCTCGGACAAAGCCATCAAAGGCTGCCGCATGCCAGTCTCCAGCAGGTGCTGCTTTTTATTGCTGTAACCACAAACAAGCTCCTGACATGGCTGATCTGAAGCACACCTGCCACCAGAAAGGTGAGCCACAGCCACCAAGCACATGGCTCCAGGAAAGCTCTTGCACCCCATTCAAAGCCCGTCTTTTGACTCGAGTTTCTCCCTGCCTTTTGTGTTTGGGTTTTTTTGGGGTTTTTTTTTTATTGTTGTTTTGCCCCTACCAAGCACCTTTCAACAAGTGCCCGGCTCCCAGCTGCTGCTGCTGGCCCTGCTCCAAGGCTGGGGCTGGGACGGGGAAGTCCTGCTGGCTCCCTGCCACCGTGGTGAGCACGGCCCAGGCTAAGAGCAGCCAATGGGCTCCTGCTCCTAATCTGGAGGGCAGCTGTCAACCGGGCTTTTCGCCCTGCACAGGGAGCTTGTGTGGGTGCATGGGGAGAGGGACAGTGCTGGGCACCCCCTCCCCAAGCTCCTCAGGAGCTGTCGGCAGGACAGGCTGCAAGGATGCTGCAGCCATCATCCTCTACTGCTGATGATGCACAGGGCTGAGCCTTTGCTTGGTTTGTTCTGTTGGGCTATTAGCAGTCCTGATGGCATTTCCATCAGAAGGAGAAGATCTTCCCTTGACAGGCAGCCAGGGGTACAGGGGAAGCAGTGAGAAGCAGCTGGATTCCCGAGTGTCTGGGCAGATGAGCTGTGGGCAAGGTAAACATGGACAGTGCTGGGTGGGCTGTCTCAGGAGGGCCAAGCAGCTCCGCTCCTTCCCACATGTTCAGGTTGCACTCAGGGCAGAGCCTGGTAGGTGGATCCTGGAGGGATCTGGCCAGCAGCAGACACCTGCAGAGCCAGGGCAGCCTGAGCCAGCCAGAAGAATCCAAGCGAGGATGGTCTGATCTCTGTCAGACTCATATCCCCCCTAGCACACACTGCCCCAAAGCAGAGAAGCCACCACTCTCCTCTCTTGAGCTGGAAGCAGGGGATGTGCCAAGGAGGGATGAGAAGAGATGCGAGAACAGGGATGGCAAGGCAGGGCAGGAACAGAGGACTTACGTCTCAGGAAGCGGTTTCGGACCCACTTGTTCTGCCTCCGGGCGTATCTCTTGGTCACTTGTTTCAGGGCCTGGATCCCTTTGAAACAGAGGGAGTAAAAAATAAAAACAAAGTTCAGCACAACGCTGCAAGCTGAGCTCAGAGCAGAGTGAGAAGAGGCTGTCAGCTCCAGTGCGAGCAAATCACACAAGGCAAAAGTTTGTGCTGGATGGTACCGTGCTCACTTAAGGGAAGTATTTCTACTGTCAGACTGGAGGTCTCCGAGCCAGCAGTGAGAAGTGGTCATCACAGCAAAGCAGCCAAGCCCTGCCAGAGAGAGCGTAGGGGTGGCAGCAGCGCAGAAGGGCTGGACAAGGTGTCCCAAATGCCCCTGAATGAACACCGGGTGGAAAGGGCCCAAAACCTCAGCTCTGAAGCTTTTAGCAGGTAGAACAATCTGTTCAGGGCCTGCACTGCTCTCGTAACGCTTAACTGAATACTTCTCTGTGCAAACAGAGCCCAGGGTCCTTGTCCTACCCACAGTGGGCCCAGAGGATGGTTTACCACTGTACAACCTTACAATATTTAGTACCAGACTTATCATATCCCTCCATAATTGTCTCCTGAGCAGACACAACAAGACCCTTCTGCACCAGACTTGTTTTCAAGACTTTTATGATTTCTGTGGTTTCCTCAGCCTCCACCTCCATTTCACACTGAACCCTCCTTGACACAGACTGACCCCGCCTGGGACCTCTGCTGTGCTGAGGAGCAAAGCAGCTCTCTAACAACAGTGCATCAGTCCCGACACACCAGAATGGCACGTGCCATCGAAGAGCGCATCACTGTTGACTTGTGTTGTGATCTGCTAGATCCCCAGATCCCTTCCCACCATCCCGCTGCTGAAACAGATGCTAAGTTCTGCTTTGTTCCTTCTTTCTAGCCCTGCTCTCCACTGCATTCACATCCCAGCTGGGATCCCATCACCCAGGTCATCAGCGGACCAGCTCCAGATCCCAAGTCACACTGTGCCCAGTACATCTTGCAAGGAGGCCCTGGGGGAAGGGAGGGAGGAGTTGTTCTGGGTGCGCTCAGAGATGCTCTCCAAGCACTGGAAAAGGAGTCCCTGACCTCCCTGAGCTGGCAGAAGTGGCAAACGCGGAGAGAAAGGTGCAGCTCAACCCCAACAGGACCTGCCCCAAGGTTTGAGCTTGGTCCACAGCATTACACAGAGTCACTTGGAGCTGTGTGGGGCCAAGGGATGTAGGGCACGCAGGATGCTCCTCTCACCTTTTTGCAGCAGCAGAGCACTGGTCTCGGGCGAGCAGTTCCCCTCACTGACGAGGTACTCGTGGAACTCCTTGAAGCCGATGGACTGGAAGATGCCATGCTGGTAATCCTGCCTGGAGAACAAGACAAGAGACAGGGGTCAAAGCAGTCTCCTTCAGAACAGGGAGAGACCTCAACCACCCCCAAAATAGCTCAGATCTCTGTGTCTCACCCTGCAGGACCCCCACAAGTGACACAAGCCCACGGCATCGGGGGGACAAGCCAAGCCAGGTACACACAGGAAGGCAGACTGGTGCCTTCGGTGACAGCTGTCACAGTCCATGTCAGCCCATGTCAGTCCACGTCACAGTCCATGTCAGCCATGCTGTATGAACACTCGGGCAGCACCAAGTAATTTTTACTGAGGGGAAATGCCACCGCTTGACAGATATGGACTAGGCAAAATTAATTCAATGCTGAGACCCGCAGGGACTCTGCTGTTTGACCAACCCTGGGCCAAGCATTCTGGCAGGGATGGCCTGGACATGCTGGAGGATCCCCTGCTGCAGGAGCAGGCGCTGCCAGGAGAGGGCTGGGAGCCCGATACATTGGAGCTGCTGCAGGGAGAGTTGGTCCGGGCCCTGCATGGGTCTGGCAGGTGGGGCTGGGAGCAGAAAGGGAGCTGGCTTCTCACCCACCGGTTCTCAGCCACCTTCTCTTGGTTGTAGCGTCGGTGGAAGTCCCGCAGCTCCTCCAGCAGTCCTGCAGCAAGCATGTCATCCACCCGCTTCTCCAGCCGCTGGTCCAGAGCTGGAAGGAGGAGAGCAGGACACACTCAGCCGCTTGGAGCCATGCCCTCAGGAGACCCACAACTGGACAACGTGCTAGGACTCCATTTGGCACTGCCAGCCTCCTGATCCACCTGAGGAAGGTAGAGCCCAGCAGGCAAGGGAAGCAAGTCCTCTGTCACACCCACTGATGCCAAAAGAATTGCAGCCTTGTTCAGGGAGGAGGCTGGGGCAGGAGCAGGGGGTCAGCCCTAACCTTGCATCGCCATGCTCAGCCGGCCAGGAGCTGTGCAAAGCCCACTCTCACCTGCCTGGTCTGCATGGAGCCACAAGATGCAGGAATGTGGGTATTTCAGGGGCCCTCCTAAGGGTCCCCCACCTTCCTCCTCCTGCTGCTGGTGCAAGATTTCACTATGGGGGATCCCCGTCTCTTCGCACACTTGGAGGCTCCTGTAAGCAGAGACAGACAGAGCTCAGAGGCTGGGTGAGGATGAGCTTTTCCATTTCCCCGGCAGCCCTGGGGGCTCCGGCAAAGGGAACCGCAGACACTTGCTGCGATGCAACCTTCTCATGTGGGGGGAGGGCAGGTTTCTGCCCCCTCCTGTGCCTTGGCATCCCGAGCACACCCAGGTCCTGGGGGTGCAATGCAGTGCAGAGCACAGCAATGGCACCCAAGGAGCCCAGAGCACAGCCACCCACTCCTGCCTGGCACCAGGACAAGCCCTGCAGGGGATGGGGTTCTGGCTCCAGCCCTGCTCTTTCCAGCCAGGCAGGGCTGCAGGGAAGGTGCAAACGCTGCTGATGCTGTGAAGCATTACTGCCAGCTCAGCCCAGCCCAGCCAGGGAGGTGGAGGAAGCTGCGCCGGGTGCCCAACCCTCCATCCCCCTGCACCGTGCGAATGAGGTGGGCGGCGTTCTGCTCCCCCCAGGCCAGGGCTCGGCTGGGATGGGCCCGCCAAAGCAGCAAGCCTGGTCTTGCCGCCGTGCTGTTCCCACAGAGCTCAGGTATGTTACTCAGCCAGCACAGCAGCTTGCTCTTTAAATAGCTCCAGATAAACCCTGCTGCTGGGGCACTGCAGCGGGAGCAGCCCCAGTCCACACAAGCTAGGAGCAATGCACTGTCCTGGACCCCAAAGGAAGTTCAAGCTGGGGGCTGCGTGCCCAAAGGTCTCAGATCCCAGAGAGCTCCCCACCACCAGTGGTCCAAGATCCCCAAGCATCTTGCTAAGAGGCTAGGAGCACCCGCCTGGGATGGGAGAGCCCATCTTGCCATGTTCCCAGGCACACGATTCCCTTGGGAAGGGGTGCTGGGCCCTGGCACCCCCTGCCCCCAGCATGCCATGCTCACCTGGCCACTTTGCGCTTGTCGTGGGGGTGCAGCTTGGCTGCCATCTCTGGGTCCACCTGGCTCAGGCGGCGATGGAGCTCCACACCGTCCAGCTGCTCCAGCTCCACTTTCCTGTCAGTGACCGGCCCAGGGGCCATGCTGGCCTTCTCCTGTGGGGCACAGGCAGCCCTGAGTCAAGCCACTCATCCATGTGCAAGGTCAGCACGAGCGAGATGACCCCCTAAACCCACGGAGTGAATGAGGGGCTTTTGGTTCTCCTTGCCCTACTCTAGCAGGGGGAGCACCATGCCTGGTTGCAGGAAGCCTGCACTGAACACAGGGATCACCCTTTCCCAGAGGGATATGCAGCCCCCCCAATGGTACCTTGGTGTTGATAAGGACCTTCCAGAGCAAGGACTCGATGTAGTAGTTGGTTCCTCCCACAACGATCGGGATCTTGTCTCGGGCAAAGATATCTTCAATGTGCCACAGTCAGGGAGCGTAAGCAGAGACGCATGGCAGGGAGGGAGAGCTGTGGGGAGCAGCACCCTGGGGCCCAGACCCTGCTCTCCCAGCCCCAAGGAGCCAGTGAGGCTGCAGGTCAGGGTTATAGGTGTCTCTCACCTCTCACTATCCTCTGCTACCCATACCAGCTACCACCAAAATTCAGGGACACCCAGGAACTGCCAGGGAGGGCAATACCCAGCTCAGCACTGTTGCAGCACAGCAGAGATCTTCCCCAACCAGCCCTGAGGAGGAAGCTGCCCTGAGCATTAGCTAGGAAAAAGAAGCTCCAAATCCCCTTGCCAGCAGTATCCTCTGAAAACTGGAGTTCGTTGCAATGTGGAGAGCCCAAGGCTGATGCAAACACTGATCTCTCTTGCAGGTCTGGCTGTGAAGGGGGTAAGTCTGTATCTGCTCAGCCAGGCAGGCTGCAGAGCAAAAGGATATCAGAGCCATGGCTTTGTCTCTGAAATCCACCACCGTGTAGTTAGAGACAAGGGGATCCACAAAGCTGATCATGTGGTGTCTGCACAGACGCTGCTCCTGGGCAGAAACCTTGTTTGTGATGATATCCAAGCCCTTGTACACCTGGGGAAGAGAAGAGCCTGTCATTCACCTCTGCATCCCATGAAATCCCCACCGACCACCGCTCCTTCCCCCACGCACAGCCGCTGCCTGCCCCTGTCACCCCTCCAAGCCCCTTGCCGGTCCCTGGAGAAGCAGGCAGCACAGGCAGGAGCACATGCCCCATTCAGGCGAGGCAGCAGTAATTGTGCCAACGCCTGCTCCCGCCAGGGCCAAACTGCCTCTCTCTGGTGTTTGTTCCTGCCCACAGGAGATGAACTTTGAGTCCAACCGCTCACGACTGCTTTCCTGGTCTGATATAACCCTGCGGTTAGGGATGGAACGGCTGATTGAGCGATCAGAGAGTGGTGTCAGAGCCCGGTCAGTGTAATCAACCGAGCCCAGCATCAAAGCACAGAGCTCCGAAACAACGGGGGCAGCTGCCTCCAAGCTCTGGGCTCCTCATCTCCTGTCGTTGCAGCCAAAAGCTCGGGTGTGCCTCTCTCCAAATACCCATCTTCGTTTGGGGACAAGGATCAAGGATCACTGCTTCCCATAACACACACAGACCTCTCTGGATGCAACATGCAACTTGACGGAGCCTCCTAAACACACACAAATGGTCTCAGCTCATGCACACCCTAAAAGCCTGGCATGCTGCCTGCTCTCACTGAGCTGGTCAGGTACAGAGAGGAGCAAAACACGTCGGTGCAGGCCAGCGACCCCAGGGGAAAAGAGGGCCTGTCCTGCACCAAGGTGCCAGGAGACACCAGTGAGCGCAACCAGCATCATCTCACTGCTTCGAGGTGCATCTTCAGTCTCGAGTTTGGGATATACAGCCTGGAGGAGCACATTGTATATCCTTTGGGATATACAACCGAGAGATGCTGGCCCTCAGCTAGACAGCTAAAAGCAGAGCAGAAAGAAAAGCCACCCAAACCAACCCCTCGGGAGCATTCTTGGCAAAGAGCCAAGGCAACCTGCGATCCCAGCAGCACGCACCTGAGCCACAGCCCAAATCCACCCTCCAGGCTGCATAAAGCAACAGCCACAGCCCAGCCCGCAGACCCAAGCGGTGCAAGTACCGGAGCCACCTCAGCTTGGTGTCGCATCCCCACAGCTTGGCTGGGTCCTGCGAGCAAAGGCCTTTCAGATGAGAGCATCTTTCACCCAGGAGAAAGGAGGAAGGCTCCTCGCCCTGCTCCCTGTGGCATGCAAACACAACCCTCCTCAAGCAGGGTGCCCTATGCCCTGCCCCTGCCCCGGGCATGCCTGTCAGTGGGTGCTGTGAGGCTCTGCAGAGCTGCAGACAAAGAGGGATCAGAGCGGGGACCCACACCCCAAGGGTGCTGGCAGCAGGCACATGGTTGCGGTGGGGCACATAAAGCCTTTCTGTCCAGCCCAGCTCTGCACCATGCCAAGGACTGAGCAACCTCCGTGCCAGGCGGTGGCTAAGGCTCTGCTTCGTGCCACAGTCGCAGGGAGGATGTGTTTAGCTCTCAGCACCTCCCCGCTTGGTGCAGTCTCCCAGCCTGGGATAAACTGGCCTGATGGGAGAAGAGACGGAAAATGGCTGTACTCATGTCCTCCTCCATCACCCAGAAACCACCCCAGCCACAGGGCCAGACTTCCAGAAACAAATTTCCCCTTAATCCCCTCTGAGGAGCTGCCAAGCCTCCAGCTGCAGCGTGGCCTCCACCCACTGCCTCCCCTGGTCCCAGCCAGAAGGACAAGGTGACAGACGAGGTGACCCCCAGGCAGAAGGCACGGAGCGGCAGCAAGGGACAATCCGAGGTTAGTGGAGCAGGGAAGCCCGATTCCTGCCTGGAGCAGTCATGAGAGCTGCTGGGGCGGCTGAACCAGCTGCAGCCGGGCAGACGCTCCCTGTCTTGCTTAACTCTTGCACTTGCTGCTTGGAGGGCGAGGGCCAGCCCCTGCTCCCGGTCCCTTGGAGGAGAAAGGCTCGCCTGGGGCCAGGAAGCAAGGGGGTAGCGGGAGGGCAACCAAATGCTCTTCCTTTCTGCCCTGCAGAAACCCAGCTGGCTCCAGGGGATGGTGAGCAGACAGGAGGAGAGGCCCAAGAGGCAGCGCTCTGCCAACATGCCCCGTGGCTGGCTGCAGCCTATTGATCCCCTTCCATTACCCAGCCCGGGCTGAGCAGCGCCATTCAACGCAGGTCTCCAGTCGGCACCGAAAGCCTTTGAATTCGGTGAGCTTTGGCTCCGTGCCTTCTCTCCCCTGGCAAGGGCCAGTCCAGCCCTCCAGCTCCTCCGACTCCCACTCGTCTGCCTGAAATCACAGTCAATAGAGAGGGCTGCTGGGGAGGCTCGGAGGCAGGCAGGAGCTCCCAGTGCCCAGCGCGGGCAGAGCCAGGATTTACAGTTCAGGCCCCAATCCCCCAAGGTTCTCCCAGAGATTAAACACCGAGAGCCTCCCCGAATATCTGGCAACAAGAGGAGGAGGAATGCGGTGTCAGTGTGTGGGCTGGGAGGAAACAAAGGCGGCCTTTTACACACACCCAGCAAAGCCCAGAGAAGGTTTCCACCAGCTGGCTGTCGGCAGGGCCTCGCACCGAGACGTCCTCCCAACACTCATTTCTATTTTCAGCAAGCGGCTCAGATAAGCCTTTGTTGCTTTCTAAGGCCCCAAAACAGATTAGCGGCAGCCTGGAGCAGCAGGCCTCTGAGACACCAAATACAAGCTGGGGACTAAAGATGCTTAGCCTTGACGGCGTCCTCCCACCTCTGCTGCTGAAAGCCCCGGGGCAGGTCAGCCCCACAGCTCACAGCGCTTTGCTGGAAGGTCAGCGCCATCTCCCCTTTTAAAGGGTGGGGAAACTGAGGCAGGAGACACAAACACCAGCAATCCTCAGGAAATGGTGCCTGTGAGGATCCTCAGCCCACAGCCCGGGAAGGGTGGGCTCTCCCAAACCCTCGCTCTGCTACCAGTTTCATGCACAATCCCAAACTTTTTCCCTTTGTCACTGTCTGCACTAGAGGGGGAAAGGCACTGTCCTTGCCCTGAGTGCAGGGAGCACAGTATAGAAGGTGACACGATGGCTGCGCAGCACAGGGACCCCAGACACATCCAAGCCACCTACGTCTGGGAAGACCATGAAGATTTCACAAGGGCCAAGGTATCTCCCAGCTGGAGAGGGGCACAGAGGACCCAAACCAAGCTAGGGTGCAAGGAGAGCACGATTGATCCCCCTGCTCTGACCCCTGCCATGAGAAGGATGTCGGCAAAGGCTCTTAAGACTTGACACACCAACTGGCAACTGTACCCAGTGTGCTACAACAGCCTCCGGAGAAGGACTGCATCACCGCTTCCAAGGGTGAAATCCAGAAGGGACAGTGGGATCGGGAGCAGACGGGGCCCTCCAGCAAGCTGGCACTGGGATCGCTGCATGCTCACAGCTCTGCCAGGAATGAAGAACCAGGACTGGCTTCACCCTGCCTGGCTTTCCCAGGGAATAACTTACTCCAAAAGGAAACTCACTGGGATGACAAACGGCAACAGAAAGGACAAAAAGAGAGATTAAGAGGCCATCAGATTAACCAGAGCTCCTGAGCTGCACGCAGGCAGCAGCTAAGTCTGTAACTTGACCACAGCGACCCACAGCCATGACGAAAACACCCTTGAGATAGAGGGGTGCCTGTGTGCGGGAACAGGTGGGCTCGGGGCTCCAGCGTTTGTCAGAGCTCCACAGAGCCCGCACGGGGCGCAGAGATGAATGGACAGAGGGGGCCGAGGGTGAGGCGGATGCTGGCAGCTGTCAGTCGAGAATGAGCAATGGGATTTTTAAAACCCGGCGACACTTCTGCAAGGACACCAGAGCCAGCTCTGCGTGGCAGAGGGATATGCAGCAGGGAGACAATATTCCACGGGAACAAAGCCAGCAAGCAAGCAGACCCAGTTGGCTGGCTGCGGCCGCCTAAGCAGGGCACGGGGGTTAGTGGAGCATGGTGGGGGAGGCGCAGACATGAGCTGCTTGAGGCTGTGCCTTCAGGCAGCCGGGCCGTGGAGAGGCAAGGCTCCCCGCCCCGCCGCCCCAAGAGGCCATGCAGAAAGCACGCTGCGTTACAGGATAAAAGTAGCGGAGCTGCTGAGCTCTCGCTCCACAGTCACGCTAGAATGAGATTAAAAGGAAAGGAGGACAAGAGCCACTCGAGCCCGGATGCCATTGGGCGCCTGCAGCCAGAGTCCTCCCAGCGCCTGCATTCCCACAGTGGGACCTGAAACAACCAGAGCACAAAATACACGCTTCAAAACATCCACCAGCGTGAAATGAGAATCCGCAGCATGCCAGTCGGCTCCAGCCGCGTCTGCGGAGCTCGGGATGCAGCAGGAGCCTCACGTTCGCACGATCGCTCAAGTCAACAGCCCTTTCCCCCGATATTAAAGCCCGCTCTACACCGGGCCGGTGGTCACCGCAAGGTCCGAGAACCTCAGCATTCGCAGTACACAAACAGGCACGAATAACCAAACAAAAGCTCTAGGGCTTGTTCAGATCAGGAAGGTCCATACTAGTAAAACCGCACCAGCCAAGCTCTGCTCAGAGACATTTTCAAGGCGAACACTAGAGCAGAGTAACTCGCCTTGAAAACTTAACAGTAGCCAACTAAAAGCTGCCCCAGCCCAGACAGGGTCTGCGGAGGAAACCAGCCCGCAGGCAGTCCCACCCCGAGCTCAAGGAGAGCGAGAGGGAAGCACCAGTCTTTCGTTAGGGAGCACGCATTGAGGGCTCGCAACACCGGCAATGCCGGGTCGTTCATGAGGACTGGGCCGGGCGGGCAGCTGCCCGCAATCAGGCAGCGCTGGACAAAGCTTCTGTGTCTCACGTGAA